CCAGCAGCATGAGCTTGTTGCCTGGAAGGCCAACTCTGTCCTGGGCTGCATTAAAAAGGAGTGGCCAGGAGGGATATGGCTGTGACTGTCCCCCTCTATTCTGTTCTTGTGAGACCCCACCTGGAATACTGTGTACAGGCCTGAAGCCCCCAGCACAAGAAGGATGTGGAGCTCTTGGAACGGATCCAGAGGAGGGCCACTCAGATGATCAGAGGGCTAAAGCATCTCCCCTTTGCAGAAAGGTTGAAGGAACTGGTCTTGTTTAGCTTGGAGAAGAGAAGGCTCTGCCGAGACCTCATTGTGGCCTTCCAGTACGTGAAGGGAGTGTATAAACAGGACGGGGAAATGCCTGTTCATATGTGTTGGTAGTGATAGGAAAAGGGGGGATGGTTTTAGAGTAAGACAGGGAAGGTTTAGACTAGAAATTAGGAGAGCTTTTTTCCCTCAGAGGGTGTTGAGGCACTGGAACATGTTGCCCAGAGAGGTTGTGGATGCCCCATCCCTGGAGGCATTCAAGACCACCTGAATGCAGCTCTGGGCATCCTGCTCTAGTGGTTGGCCCAGAGCAGGGGGATTGAAAGTAAATGATCTTTAAGGTCCTTTTCAACCCAGGAAATTCCATGATTCCATAATGTTTTTCCTCCCAGAGTCAGATCCCAAAGAGGTACCATTTCCCAGGGAAACCTGGCCCTGCATTGTCCCCCAGAGCAAAGAAGGCATGCCTAGAGAAGCCCCAGGGATAAGGGCATCCCTAGCATCAGGACCCAGGAGTCCTGGCTGCTACATTGTCCCGTGAACTCAGAGGAACACTCAGGCAGGGCTCTCACAGCAGCCACCAGCCTTCTCCAGCCTCCCCCCAAGGCCCATGACTTGCAGCTTTGGACAGCTGACAGCCCCTGTGACACATCTTGCGAAGGGGATCCTGACACCCTTACCTTTGGGGGAGAGCTGCAGGAGCACTGGGAACAGGGAAGTCAGGACAGTGGTGATGGTCACCCTCCAGCAGCCCTCCATCTCGCTTGCTGCTGGCCTTCAGCTCAGGACAAGGGATGCCCGCCCTGGGTTCTCAACCACAGCTCCTCTGCAAGGTGCCCCTGCTCCTCCGTCTGTCAGCGAGGGTCGCCCAGTGCAAGCTTGCTGCCTGCTGACCCCACTCCTGGCCACAGAAGGACAGTGGTGGGGAGCACCCAAGCAGTGCCCAGCAGGGACCAGGCCTTGCAGGGAAGTGCCGGCACTGCCGCTGCTCCAGTGACAATATCCTGGTGATGCAGTGCCCCCTCTGTGACATCAGCGTGTGACATTTGAAGGCCTGTGAAGTCAGAAGCAAGGACATGGCACAGCTCGAGAGAGATGAGAGATTTCCCTTTTTGTCCTGAGAAACAGCCATTTCCCTTCTGCCCAGTTCTTTTTGGGATGTGGAAGAGTACAGGGACATCTCCAAATGGTGGCAAAGGCCATGGAGCAAAGGCAGTGGAGCCCTGGAGATACCACTACTGCCCCCTTTTACCAACATGCTTCTGCTGTTGGGAGCCCTCCCACACTGGTTGGGTTTGAGGCTTGTCCTGGGGCCTGGATTTTTCAAAAGATGGGAGCAAAGGCACCTGGGATGGAACGGCCCCTCGGAGTCACTGAACTCTTCACTGCATGTAACTCACTTCTGAAAGAAGGATGGGTTTTACAGAGTGAATTGGAGTACATGCCAGGGCCTCAGCACCATCCCCCAGTCTGCCATGCAGGAGGCAGAGGTGATACATGAGTGAGGGGCAGATGTACCCTCAACATGTCATGATGAGAGAGAAGAGTAGGGCAGACAAAAAGGGGAGTGGGGAGAATGGTCTAGGATGGATGCCAGGCTCTCCTGTAGGCTGCCACAGCCTCCCCACGGTGCACAGCTTTGGGCCTTCAGAGGAGGTGGAGACCACAGAAGAGGCTGAGGTGGGGGGGCAGCCTGCCCCTTGCAGCTGGGCTGCCAGATCTGCCTGCAGGAGACCACTTGTGTCTTGGTGTCCACAATGGAGGAGGAAGCCATCCTGATTTAGGATCTAAACTCTCTCATTTCAGGAGACCTGTGGCACGCTGAAGGCAGGACTACAGCCCCTGACTGTACTGCACACAGATGTACCTGGTCCCGTGTCAGCTGGACCATGTCAAGTGGGCTGCAGGGAAACATAAGGCTGAGCCTGTGCAATGCTGGGTATAGGTCTGTCCCCTAAACCTCATCTCTTTCCATGTGCTGAAAAGCAGCTGGACTACATCATGCCTTGTGCAAGAGGAGTGTCAAGACACAGGTTTTCCTGTTTGCAAGTGCCAGATCCTGGTGAACATCACCTAGGTTGGCCCATCTGACACCTGTGCACAGAAGCTCTCTGCAAGAACCCACAGAAAACATGGGGAATGTTTGAACCAAGCAGTGTCCCTTTCCTGTGGTTGGCAGAGTGAATAAAGTCCCCCACAGTGACATGGAGTCATTGAACTCAACTTACTCCAATGCTTTCCACAAGACTTTGCCCACTTCTTCAGCCTGGCTGCAGACATTTACCTCCTGCCATGCTGTCACCCTGACTGGCTTTTGTCCCTAAACCATAAGGGCTCCCCCAGTCTGCTGCCCAATACATAGAAGAGATCCATGCATCCAGACAGATTCTTCACATGGAGCAAACTCTCGTTGATCATGCCCAATTGTCTCTTCTGAAGAATCTGCACCCATTCAGCATGATCACACTGTGCCCCTGACTGTCTCTCCTCTGACCTCACACGGGCTCCCCCAGCGTACTGCCAGTTCCATGGACAGGACAAAGGAAGGTGAATCTTATACAGATTTTATTAACTTTATTTTTCTTTTATGAGAGGTGATTTTGCTGCCAAGAATTGTGTGTGCCAAGTGAGGGAAGGAACCCCAGGGATCCCTTCAGGCTGTTTGCCAGCAGGTTCCCCTGCAGCCCCAGGGCCATGTGCAGGGAACCTGGTGGGGGGCAGAGCAAGGGAGGCCTTGGGCTGGGCCTCTGCTGCTGAGCTGGGCCGGGCTCCTGGGCCCAAGGGGAGCTCCTGGCAAGCGGGCAGCGCTGCAGAGAGACAGCTCTGCCCAGAAGCAGCTCCTCTGCACAGCGCAGCAGGGCTGGGGGCTCTGACTGCAGGTGGCAGTGGGAGAGGAGAGAAAGGAGAAAGAAATTATGGGCTGAGTGGAATATGTGTATGCTGAGAGCTCAGAAGAGGAGAGATCTTCTTAGCACATAACACGGTAAATCTCTTTCTGCAGTGCAATTCACAGGAGTATCATGGAGGGTTTTCCAATAGCCAGAACTTCCCACAGATCAGGCCAGATACACTTGTTTTTCCTTTAGTGTGGAGAAACACTATCACCAGAGGAGGGGTTCCCTGCAGGGTCAATGTCCAAGTCCCAACGGCTCCCATTTTGCAGGCCATCTGCGGGCTGTGAAGCCGGGGGTGCAGGCAGGGGTGTCCAGGGCTGTGGTGCAGAGCAGGGTCCCTGCTGTGGCCCAGGGGCTGTGTGCCGGGAGAGGGCCTCTGCCGCCTGCCAGGCTCAGCACTCAGCCTGCCCAGGGAGCTGCCCAGGGCACTGCAGGGAGAAGCTGCGGGTGGAAGGAGCCCTTCCAGTAGGGCAGGGTCCTGCTGCTGGTGGGAGGCTGCTGCCTGGTGCAGCCTGCTCACAGCTCCACAGAATACTAAGAGAATTTCACTCTCATCTTTCCTTAGCCTCTCCTTTCAGTTTCTGTTTTAGGCTCAGTGGAAACAGAAATATATGATGTTATTTTCTAGAAAAGCCTGACAGTCCTAAGGCATCCTAAGGAGGTTACAAGGACCCCCAGTAAATCTTATCCAGAAATCTCCACCACCCCTTGCACAGTGTCAGTAGGGTCTGTGTGACCTGGCTCTAGGACGTGCCCCCAGTGAGCTGCCCCTGGGCAGAGCCCTGCTGCCAGGAGGTGTCTGCAGGGCAGAGCTGAGCACCCAGCGGGTGGGATGGGGGCTGTGAGCTGCAGGCAGAAGGCGTGGGGACAGAGACCCAGCTGCAGGTTGGGACAGCTGCAGACAACAGAGCCATGGGCAGGGAATGGCAGGACAGTGCTAGCAGAGTAGTCTGGTACCTCTCTGTCTGCCCTCTAGCTCATAGGATTCAGGACGTGACTCATAACCTCAGTACCAGGACCTCACTCACAGCGGGCCCTTCTGAGTTCCTGTTGGTGCCTTCTGCCTTGCCTCCCCTGGCAGAAGCCCTGTGCTATTCCGCTCTCTTCTTAGACCTGCAGCTGCTGTTCTTGCTTTATGGCTCCCTGCAATTGGGGAGATGGGGCTTTCAGCTGCAGCTCAAGCACTGACCCTCTGGGTCCCACCATGCAGATGTGTCCATAGCAGGAAGGTGCCCAGAGTTCCCCTTCTAACCTATGGGGCTCTCGGCATTGCAGTCTGTGGGGCATGGACAAAACTGTATCACCTTCCAGGGACTTTCTGAGGCCACAATCATTGGGCAGCCCAATGTAGGTAACTCGACTGAGCCCTGGAGTTTGGCTGAGACCAGGGTAGATGGACAGACTGGCTATCCTCATTGCACTAAGGACATTAACTTTACCTTCCGGGACTCACAAAAGCTCACCTGGTATTTCTTACAACTGCCAGGGTTTTCTACCCTCTAAAAATGCTCCTGAGTGTGATGCAGATAGAACAAATAAATCACAAGTACATCAGTAAAGAGTGTTGAGAGTGGTAATGCTGTGAAGTCCAATACATCAGAGGTAGATTTAATCAGCGATCACTCCTGGTTTCTTTTCATGTAGAGCTGTAGGACAGGTCTGAATCCTCCAGCACACACAGCAGAGACCGCTGCTCCCAGGGGCACATTCCTCCAACACCAACCAGACCTCAGGCAAGGGAGCAAAAGAAACGCCTCAGAAAGGGGAAAGTCACTGTAGGGGTGTTTGGATGCGAAGAGAAATAGGTTTTCTCTCCTAATGATCACTATCTTTTCTTCCTTGGGTATTCCCCTTTGTCCAGGAGGATCAGATGTCCAACAGCAGCTCCATCACCGAGTTCCTCCTTCTGGCCTTCGCAGACACACGGGAGCTGCAGCTCCTGCACTTCGCGCTCTTCCTGGGCATCTACCTGGCTGCCCTCCTGGGCAACGGCCTCATCCTTACCGCCGTAGCTTGCGACCACCGCCTTCACACTCCAATGTATTTCTTCCTCCTCAACCTCGCCCTCCTCGACCTGGGCTGCATCTCCACCACTGTCCCCAAAGCCATGGCCAATTCCCTTCATGATACTAGGGCCATCTCCTATGCAGGATGTGCTGCACAGGTCTTTCTTTTTCCCTTTCTGATATCAGCAGAGTATTTTATTCTCACCATCATGTCCTACGATCGCTATGTTGCCATCTGCAAGCCCCTGCACTACGGGACCCTCCTGGGCAGCAGAGCTTGTGCCCAGATGGCAGCAGCTGCCTGGGGCAGTGGGGTTCTCTATGCTCTGCTGCTCACTGCCAATACATTTTCACTGCCATTGTGCAGAGGCAATGCTGTGGACCAGTTTTTCTGTGAGATCCCCCAGATCCTGAAGATGTCCTGCTCACGCTCCTACCTGAGGAGTTTTTGGGTGCTTGTGATTGGTGTCTAGTTAACGTCCGTGTGCTTTGTTTTCATTCTTTTTTCTTATGTGCAGATCTTCAGGGCTGTGCTGCGGATGCCTTCAGACCAGGGGCGACACAAAGCCTTTTCCACATGCCTCCCTCACCTGTTTGTGGTTTCCCTGTTTATCAGCACTGCCCTTTTTGCTTACCTGAAGCCCCCCTCTATCTCCTCTCCATCCCTGAACCTGGTGGTGACAGCTCTGTACTCAGTGATGCCTCCAACATTGAACCCCCTCATCTACAGCATGAGAAACAGGGAGCTCAAGTGGGCTCTTAGGAAAGTGATTTCACGAATGTTTCTAAATAGAGACAAATTTCCCCTCTTTTTCCAGAATTGACTTAACTTGGTACCTCCCCTCAGGCCTGGTCCTTCTTTCATTGTCAATATTGTTATTGTTCTCTTTGGTATCATTTGATTTATTGTGCTCTTAGAGTAATATCTCTTTTTCACCCTACTTCTGCTGAGGATTGACACTTCTCTGTTTGCTCTTGAGGCTATACAAATATGTGTCCAACAGAAGGTCAGAGCTGACTCTTACCTTCAAAATAAAATGGGATCTCCACAGTGCACTGTCTGAAGGCTTGGATGTTTTTTCAAGGTTGTTACCAAGCTTTCCAGAAGCTTGTGTCACTTTCCACCACCTATCAGACGCTTTCCAGCATCTGTCAGTGGTCATGATCCTCCAAAGATGTCCTGGGTGAGTAGAGACTTGCTAATGTGATGCCCATCTTTAAGAAAGGTCATAAAGAAGGACTAGGGAACTGCAGGTCTGTCAGCCTGACCTCGGTGCCAGGAAAGGTGATGGGACAGGTCATCTTGAATGCAATTATGCAGCATATGCAGGACTACCAGAGGATCAGGCCCAGTCAGTATGGGTTCAAGAAAGGCAAGTTCTGCCTGACCAACCTCATCTCCTTCTATGACCAGTGACCTGCCTGGAGAATGAAGGAAAGCCTGATGACATAGTCTACCTAGACTTCAGCAAGGCCTTTGCCATGATCTCCCACAGTATTCTCCTGGAGAAGCTGGCAGCCCATGGCTTGGACAGGCACACACTTTGCTGGCTTAAAAACTGGCTGGGTGGCCGGGCCCAGACAGTAGTGGTGGCCAGACTGAAATCCAGCTGGTGACCAGCCACGAGTGGTGTTCCCCAGGGGTTGGTGTTGAGGCCCATCCTGTTTAACATTTTTATTGATGATTTGGATGAGGCAATTGAGTGCACCCCCAGTACGTTTGCAGATGACACCAAGGTGGAGGGAAGTGTCAATCTGCCAGTGGGTAGGAAGGCCCAGTAGAGGGACCTGGACAGGCTGGATTGATGGGCAGAGGGCTGTGGGATGAGGTTCACCATGGGTAAGTGCTACTTCCTCCTCTTTGGCCACAACAACCCCATGCAATTCTACAGGCTTGGGGAAGACTGGCTGGAAAGCTGTGCACAGGAAAGGGATCTGGGTGTGTGCTCAAAGCTTTCCTGAACATGAGCTGGCAGGTTGATAGCAAGCTGAATATGAGTCAGTAGTGTGCCCTGGCAGCCAGGAGGGCCAACCGTATCCTGGGGTGCATCAAGCACGGCATTGCTAGTCAGTTGATGGAAGTGAATATCCTGCTCTACCTTGCACTGTTGGGGCCTCACCTTGAGTACTGTGTGCAGTTCTGGTGTCGTGGTTTAACCCAGCCGGCAGCTAAACACCACGCAGCCGTTCGCTCACCCTCCCCCCTCCCTCTCTGGGACGGGGGAGAGAAATGGAAAGTGAAGCCCGTGAGTTGAGATAAAGACAGTTTAATAAGACAGGAAAATAATAATAACAAAATAATAATAACAATAATAACAATAATAACAATAATAATAATATGGTGATAATAGGGAAATAATAATAATATGTACAAACAAGTGATGCACAATGCAATTGCTCACCACTCGCTGACCGATGCCCAGCCTAACCCCGAGCAGTCCCGCCCCCTCCCCCCGGCTAGCCACCCCTATATATTGTTTAGCATGACGTCAGATGGTATGGAATACCCCTTTGGCTAGTTTGGGTCACCTGTCCTGGGTCTGTCCCCTCCCAGCTCTTACTGCACCCCCAGCCTGTCCGTTGGCAGGACAGAACAAATGGCTGAGATGTCCTTGGCTTAGTATAAGCACTGCTCTGCAACAATTAAAGCATCGGGGTGTTATCAGCACTCTTCTCATCCTAAGCCAAAACACAGCATTCCACCAGCTACTAGGAAGAAAATTAATTCTGTGCTAACTGAAACCAGGACATCTGGGCACCACAGTACTGAAAGGATATGAAACTATTGGAGAGAGTCCAGTGAAGGACTACAAAAATGGTGAAGGGCCTAGAGGGGAGGCACAGCTGAGGTCACTTGGCCTGTTCAACCTGGAAAAGGAGAGGCTGAGGGGAGACCTCATCATGGTCTAGTCTCCCTCACGAGGGAGAGTGGAGCGGCAGGCACCCCTCTATTCTCTTTAGTGACCAGTGATAGGACCAGAGGGAATGGTGTCAAGCTGCGACAGGTGAGGTTCAGGCTGGATATCAGGAAGATAACTCTTCACTGAGAGGTAGTTACACACTGGAACAGGCTCCCCAGATACAGAGTCACGGCACCAAGCTTATCAGAGTTTAAGAAGCAATTGGACTGTGCACTTAGTCACATGGTCTAAAATTTTGGGCAGACCTGTGTGGTGCCAGGAGCTTGACTCTATGATCCTTATGAGTCCTGTCCAACTTGGGATATACTATGATTCTATGATTTTTGCACCAACTCCCGCCTCCTTTCCTCAGACATCTGGCTACACACAGTTTTTTGTTGTTATTTTTGTGTGGATGTGTCTTTTTTTTTTTAATATTTACAAAAAAAGTATATTAAAAAGAAACTAACACCAACAAAAATAAAAGAAGCAACCAAACAAAAACCACAGTCCACAGCTGTGAGTCAACTCTAACTTGCCTCCAGTGAGGTGCACCATCCACCATTGATGACTGTACAAGAAATTTTTGACACAGAGAGATAGGAAATGGTAAAAGAGAAATACAGAGTTGGCTACAGGGATGATGAAAGGGACTACTGAAACGCAGGCAAGCTTAACCTCCCTGAAACCCCTAGAAGCAACTGGGTATATGAGAAGTATCTGAATGACCGAAGAGCAAGAGCAAGTGGAGGGGAACTCTGCAGAAGAGCGGAAAATGCACATGTCCACACACTCTGCTGGAAAGATGATTTCCAGCATGGTCTGTTTTGTAAGGCCAGGTTGAAATACCTCAAAGACTGAGATGAAGTGCAGTGCATAAGAGAAATTCTGGCAATGCAAGTACAGGGGAAGATATATATACATATCTGCATTACCTGCCTTTCTTGGTGGGAATATTCACATCTTTCTGTCTGTATAGTGAAAAATATTTGTGTAGCTACAGCTGTAACTACAGCTGTATGTGCAAGTAAAGGTAAATGTATATACAGAGTTACACGTATACACATAGATAACTGGGAGAGAGACGGGCAAGTGTCTGGGATTCTAGGAGTTTACATCACCTGAACTATCAGGAAACCAACCCAGCAGTGCTGGGAGCTGGGGAGAGGGGAGACGTGGAGGAAGGTCGCAGTGACACGGCTGGGAGGTGGGTTGTGATGCCATTCCTACTGCAGTGACCTGACTGCCGGATGGCAGGCAGGCAGACACGGCAATGTCATTGAGTGCATCACAAACCCCATGGGACACGGGGGGCAGCTCTGACAGGGGACAACTCTGTCGAGCCACCATGGCTGGGCTGCTGCTGCTGAGGTCACCTCCTCACAACACTGTGATGGGCCAGGAGCAGGCAGGCCTCAGGAGGCCATCAAGAGCAGCAGCTGTGGAAGCTGCAGGCAGATGCCTGGGCCCTGGGGAGGGCTGCCCTGCAGTGATGCCAGCTGGACATGGGGTGGGAGCCTGTGGGAAAAGGCACAAGAAAGTGCTGGGTGTGACAAAGCACAGCACGAGAAAGGAGCAGATTACAGGCAGGGCTGTGAGGGACAGCAACATCTCACGTGCCCTTGGTGGGCAGAGATTTGAGCGATGGGCAAATGGCACAGAGAGATAGAGGGGAGCAGTGGAGACCAGAGGTCTGGTCCTTGCTCTAGAGACTCCAGATACCCTGTACCTGATCGCATCTCTCTGTCCTGCCTTCTTCCAGTTGCAGTTGGTCTGGGTGTGCTCAGCTGTACACACCTGTGTGTGCACATCCATGTGTGTTTAAAAGATTGCGTCTTTGTGTACACATGGCTGGGTATTCTTGCAGACACCAATTCTAGGTGAGCTTTGCCTTTCCTAAAAGCATATGTCCACCACAAAGGTAAGATATCTAAGTTTCTTTTTTGGAGCCTGTCCTTGCTGTCACCCCCTGGCAGATCCTTCATGGCCCCTCTCAGTGCCCTATCCCTGCAGCAGCCCAGCCCCACTGCCCCACACATGGTCCCACAGCCGTGCTGCCAAAGCAACGCACATGGCAATGCACATTCAGGGTTGGGTCAAGCTCCTGCTATTACGATTTCAATGGCACACTTGGGGTCCCCTCCTGCCATGGCCCTACTGCATTTGCATCCTCCTCCAGCCCCCAGCTGTGGGAGTGTGGCCATGTTTATCTCTTAACTTATGCTTCATAAATGATTTCATACCTAACTTATAGAACACTATTTTTTTATTCAAGCTCATAAATAAAGTGGGCTAAAATTCTGCTAAATAGCTGATACAAATATTGCTAGGAAGATGTGGATCAAGTTTTCACTTCCAGGCGAATGCAACTTAACTTCTGTATTAACTTTGCTGATGTTTCTGGGATTCCCATAATAAACTATAGCTGGTATGATACCATATTTAAAGTATGCCAGAAACCTGAATTTGAGGTACAAAGCAAGTTCCCAGTATATGAAAAAAAAGTCACTTGCACTGTTTTATCCCCATAAAGCTACAGTAGAATCCTCTAGTAACCACGAGGTGGCTTTTGGTCTGTAAGGAAAATTGTTAGTGTAAATGACAATAT